ATTAAATAAGGAAGCCAACAAATCACCGGAATACGCCTCAGGTGTGCGCACCGACCCATGAGTCACTAATTACCCGATGCGACACAGCTGAGGCATTGATCCCGCAAAAAGGGAGAGCAGGAGAGGAACAAAAAGAAAGAGGCAGGTCGCCCCGAGCGGACCTGACACTTCATCTAGAATGTCTGGACATTTTGCTGCCATTTCATCTTCTGAAGCCAGCTGTCCCTGTTCTTTCCTCCTCCAGAGGCTGGATGCGTTTCTGGCTCATTCTCCTGCTATAGGATGAAACACTGAGAAGCTCTGACTTCCTATGTCAGTGGCCTTTTTCCAAATTATGGTTCATAGTCTATAGTAACACAGTCTGTTCCAACACTGCCTTTGTACAGAGAGAATTTGTTGCTGTCAATCATCAGCAACAGTTGGGACCTGTAGGAACTGTTTGCTTCAGATTTCAAGGCTTCATTTACTTCCACTACTGCAGAAAAGATGGAAAATAACCTGTCACTAGATCCCTGAAAAGGCCTCGTTTATATGACATTTACACAGTTTTATGTCTGGCAGTTTACATCTTAGCTTTATACCATTTAAGGTTATTCACTGGACCTGATCTGCTTACATGTCAATAGTAACTGGAAAAAGTAGGGGTGGTCTTAAACCTTTGACCGGTAGTGTGAGTAATAACCCACAACATTTATACCTTTGCTAAACGCTGCAATACACCTTTCAATATGACAGTTAAAAGAGATATTCTCTTACCCTTGTTTCTTAGAAGATCTCTGCAAAAGAGATTGTAAGCAGAAAGTTCTCGGGTGTGAAGTTTGGGCTTTCGAGGCCTCCGGTCAGAAGGTGCCTTTAGGGACCTTTTATAGTTTCCAATCCAGTTCTAAAACCAGAGACAGAAACATTAAGACAAGGTGATAAACCAATGTTATACTGTATTTTCAGAGGTGATTCAAAGTCCAAATCATAATGAAAGAATCACCAGAGTACAGGGTGTGAAAATGTCCCTGTGATGCTTTTAACACTAAATGAAACTTACTTCTATGACAGCAGGGGCCAAGCCAGTAGCCTCAGCAGCTGCTGGGATTAATGGTGAGCCAACACTTGTCATTCCTTCCTGGAATGAGGACTTCAGCGCCTCTTTTTGCTCCTTCGTTATAACTGTCCTCTCTTGTTGAGGAATGGTCAAGACAAAGCAAACACAATGTTGGAACTGCTAATGTTACACAGCATGACATCTTGTCAGTAAAACCAGCCTTACCTCTGCGTGCCATTTGGCCTAAAGCGCAGAAAATAAAGATAACTCATGTAAGTGGTTGTGTCTTATAGTGGACAGGAGACAGCCGCGGATCTTCTTATTACGTGATGTGTACACAGTCTGACGTAAAAGGTGTAAGAATAGCTTACCATTGCTGAGCTAGTGCAGGTCTGTAGAGCTATGAAAACATAATAAGCACAATGGAGACAACCGTGATTAACCTGCATCATTGCTCGCTGAAGCAACAAAGCTCTGATATCACAACACTGAAAACATAAGGTTAATACACAGACTTAACAGTAAGCCATCTAGCTTTGACACCTTTGTCTGTAAGCTAGCCGCTAGTGCCTCTCTTTTTTGGTTTGGTAACTTACCTATAAATCCAATTCATTTCCCGTGGACAACGTTACGTGACTCATAGTTGGAACAGTTCTGCGGCGGCATAATTCGGCATGAAACTGCGCCGGAAACAATCCATTCTGGGGTAAAACATCAAAGGTGTAAGACTGTGTGCATTAAAATGTCTGGGTAGAAAACACCCATGGGTATAAGTTAACCACAGCTCCCAAGGTGCCTTTCGGAAACAAGAAGCCAATCACTGATCTTTGAAGTCGGTCACGTGTACCGGCCGGCAGAAACTAAACCTCACGATGCTGAATCACTTCGCTTTTAATTTTTGTCACTCATAAGTGACTTTAACAATTATGACTGATGTTTACATCTTTTAACAACGAAGCGTTCTGAAGTTAATACCGCTCTGGTTAGCGCCAGTGGCTCCTTCTCCACAGCAACGGCGATAAGGGTCATGGGTATTGTGTTCTTCTTACCCGCCCGCCCGCAAACAGCGAGCTGAAATCAGTATTTAACTTGAGGCTTGAGACCCCGTGGTCTGCAATATTGAATACTATAAAGTACCAAAACACAGTCCATCTACACAAACAGTAAACCACAGTTCACCCAGCATCTCTGCACAACAGCAGGCGTTGCCAGGTTCACAGCTGCCTTTGTTTTGATGAGTGCCGACAGTGATGGCAGCCTTGGTTACTCGTGCTCTCTTGTGTTTGTTGTTTATCTTCGTTTCCTTGGTCTTTTGCAACCCATCCCGGATTACTTTTACCAGAGGAAAAACTGTTAAATACCGGACAACGCACACTGGACTACCTTTTTCCGATCTTTGTGAACGAAGAATGCTGTGTGGACATTCTGATCAGAGGCGCAGCTGCGCTCTACGGGACCTGGAGAAGATGTCGACGTGGAAAGCGAGCGGGCGCCTTAGTGAGGCTTTGACAGAGAGGAAACCGGACTGCACTCCCGTCCATCTACCTAGCAATTCTCCGCTCTCTAACCAACAAAATGGATGAGATCCTTCTCGTCAACAGGACTGACTGACTTTGCACGCTCTGTGCTTCAGGGAGACCTGGCTCAACGACTCCATACCGGGCTTCCGGGTGCATAAAGGAACTGTCCGGGAAAATGAGAGGTGGTGGAATCTGTTTCTACATAAATGAAGGTTGGTGTACAAGTGTCACAGTGCTACATGTAACACATACTTAGAGACTCTTTTTATCAACTGCAAACCCTTCTATTCTCCTCATGAATTTTCGAGCTTCATCCTGGTTGGTGTCTATTTAAGTTAATTTAAGTCCTACAAGTTTCTGGGCTCCACTATCAAGGTCAAGGTCAAGAATCTTTATTGTCATTATGCATAGCAAACAATTTTTTTTCTGGCAGCTCTTGGCTTAAAAGACATATTATTAATATAAATTGTATAAGTCAATACAAAAATATCAACAAATAAAAAGGGATGTATGGGACCTAATCAGGTCAGCAGCATGTTAGCAGCAAAAGACTGTAGTAATGTTATGCAGCAATCCGTGCAGCCCTCCTCTGGATCCGGCCAGGGTATAGTGAGTCCAGATCCAGAAGAGGACTCCCTACAGTGCCCTGAGCTGTTCTCATCACCCGGGTCAAGTCCTTTCTGTCCTGTGCAGTGCAGCTCCCATACCACACTGTCGCACTGAGACAGAGGATGCTCTCTACTGTCGCTCTGTAGAAGTTTGCAAGCAGCTGAGAGGAGAGACCAGCACGTTTCAGCTTCCTGAGGAAGAAAAGCCTTTGCTGGGCTTTCTTCACCAGGTAGGATGTGTTCAGAGACCAGGTCAGGTCAGATGTGATGTGGATGCCCAGGAACTTGATGTTATCCACTTGCTCCACCACCTCCCCGTGTATGAGAAGAGGAGCATGTATTGTCTTCCTGGACCTCCTATAATCCACAATGACTTCCTTAGTCTTGTTGGTGTTCAGGACAAGATTGTTATCTGAACACCACCTTGTCAGGTTCTCTCTGCGGTGAATCTCATCGTCTGAGATGAGACCCACTACTACGGTGGTTTCGTCTGCGAACTTCACTGCTGTTTGTGGGGTGAATGGCATCACAGTCATGGGTAAACAGAGTGAAGAGAACTGGGCGGAGCACACAGCCCTGTGGTGTGCCTGCATTCAGGACCAGTGTGGATGATGTGCAGCTTTCGATTCTCACCACTTGAGGCCTGTTAGTGAGGAAGTCCTTAATCCAATGACACATCATTGCGGACATTCCCAGATTGTGCAGTTTCAGTGCCAGTTTGTCTGGGATTACAGTATTAAATGCC